TTCTTGAGAAATTCAACTTTAACAAGATGAAGGTATAAATATAAGAAAAGAAGTTATATAATATAAAAAGTTAATATAATAGAGAAGAAATAAATGAAAGTATGTTGGTATTATTGACAGATTGAGGGGAAGGTGAAAGTGCATAAGTACAGCAGGAGGCGTCCAACAGAGGGATGGGAGATTACAGTTGAGAAGATGGGCCCACGTGGGAAGCGGGGAGATGGCGGTGGTTGGAAGTTCAAGAGTTTGGCTGACGGCTCCACCAGACCACTTAATGATTATGAGAAAATGTTTGTGAAACGAGAGAAACCTCGCAGGAGACGCAAGATTCTACACCCAAAATAAGTTATTTGATATTTTAGGATTTTAGGATTTTAAGATTTGATTCCACCTTTTGTTTTTGTTTGTGTCAAATGTAGTGGCACTATCTTTTTTTTTTTTTTTTTTTGTTTGTTGGTTGGGTCCTACTCTACTATATAAATGCTATGCCAAAGCTTTGAGCACAAGGGTGTTTATGTGTTTGGTATGCAAAAAATTTGAAATGAAAGAGAGTTTGTTTCTGTTTCATGTCTTTGGAATAAAACTTGGGAATTAAGATATTGATATTAATAACCACATTGTTGCTTGAAAACCGTTGACAATCTTTTTTGACTTTTCTGCAATCGATCACGATGTACAAAAATCCAGAATTTTCGAAATCATCGAACTACTTTGAGAAAAAGTTTGAAATTGTAGTGAATTTCAAAAATTTAGTATTTTTAATTAGTTTTTTTTTTAAATGTTTATAAATTAGTTTGAAAATTCAGTATTTTACAATTTTCAGAAGTATTAATCTACCTATCTTAATAAAAGATTCCTCTCTGCCATGTGTCTCATTCTACATCCATTTTTCGTTCAATGTGATTTACCCATATTGCTCTTCTTTGTTTCAACATCCACTCATCCCTGTAATCCGGAGCTTCCATCTATTCCTATTAATCTATCTATTATTGATGATTTAATTGATGATACCTAAAATCAAGGAGTGAGGTTTGAAATTCAAGGGGTGAGGTTTTGAAATTCACAATTTGTATCTTTAGGATTTATAAAATTATAGACATCAGATTATATCATTTGGTTCCTCCTCTGTAAATCAACCACCACCCCACTTTCTCCTCCATCAATCACTGATTTAGCCCTTCCACCGCTCCCAATTTGATGCATCTCACCGCCTCCGCCATGTATTCTCTTTGCAACAACATGTGTACCACTTTGCCACTGTCGGTGATTAGGTTGTTCCTACAGTAACTGACCTTCGCCCTACCAAGAAGACGCACAAGCCAAGATTCCCAAGTTAAGCCCTATGCTTTCACGAAACCACCAATAATCATGCTTATATGTACTCCGACTGTGAACCCTAATTCTCTCCGGTAAGCATCAGATTTGAATTTTTCAAATTTTACTTAGATACACAACATCAATAAGGGGAAAATGCTTATGCCATACATGTTTGGTGGATATGTTGTTTTTTTAATAAAAGAGTTTCAATTTCACTTTGTGTTTTAATTTCACTTATTTTTGCTTCT